GCGTCATATCTTTTTGCCTTTTGGTACTGTCCATGGGGTTTTCATGGCAAAGATACTGGAGTGGGTTGCCATTTCCTTCTCCAGTGGATCACTATACAATAATGTGGACTCCTGGACTGTCCCTACACTTTATGATCTTTCCTAGTTCCTTCAATGATGCCCTTTCAAGTCTCAACCTTCTCCTACATTCTTGGCTGCAGTCTCCATTTGAATTTATAACTGAGCTATGGAACGTCTTCACAATTCCTTCATTGCTGACCTTAAACTTGTGTAATTCTTTTGTAGTCATGATTTTTGTTCAGCTGCCATCTTACTTTTGCATTTTCTTCTTTCACTCTCATCAGAAGTTGTTTCAATTCATAGCTGCTTTCTGACCAAATGGTATCATCTGCATATCTTAAAATAGTAATATACCTTCCACCAATTTTTGCTCCTTCCTCTGATTCTAATCCAACTTTCCTTATGATATGATCTGCACACAGGTTGAACAGATAAGGAGATAAAATATACCTTTGCCTGACACCTGGAGGAAACCATCCTGTTTCTCCATATTCTGTTCTAACAGTATCTTCTTGCCTATGATGCAATCAAGTGCTGTATCGCACCTGTTTCTTTCAGAAACACCCACAGTGTCTTGTGATGTAGTCAAAGGCTTTGATGCAGTCCAAAAAAGCACAGAATGATCTCCTGAAATTCTTTGGTGCAGTCCAACAGCCATTACTCCTCTTAAAAAAAAAAAATCACACCAGCTGCAAAGTCAGCTATGACATGTCTTCATCAACTCTGTCACCATGCAGATTTGTCCAAACAGGTAATTTGGGGGGGGGGGGGGATAACCAGTTTTACCACATGCTAAAACTTCAGATTTTATTCCACAGAGTTGAGTAAAACTAAAACATGTATCTAAACTTGTTCAAAAGAAGAAAAGCCCCCTCCATCTACCATTCTGAGTCCAACTTAAGCTGTAAACCAACCAGTCGTAGCAAACAAATACAATAAACCAACAAAATTTTCCTTTAGGCATCACCACACAACGAGAACTTAGAAATACCCTTCCTCTAGACTCTGAAAATAACTTTCCATTTTGCTAGACTCTTTCTAGTGAATACAAAGATACAAAGTTCCCCATTCCCTTTACAGAAAAAATAACAAAAAACCTTTCTGAATCATCTAAACTCCCTGAAATTGAGCAAAGTTAATAAAAAAGCCGAGCTGCAGAACCTCTGTACTTAATTTTAGTCAATACTAACAAAGGCAAAGGAAAAGATAAACAGCACTAAATTATGCTGGCAACCAGTGGATGCATACATTCAACTGATTTTTAAATGTAGGCCTATACAGCTTCTGTATCCTCTTTGCTTATTAATTTGTGAAACAGTATTTCCAGTAAACTAACTTGTTTATCTGAAAGGCATCAATACTTAGCTCTATAAGGAAGTTTACTACAAACATTGTTTCAATTTTTCCTTCATACTGTTTCAAAACAGACCTTCGTATTTTATAAAAAAAAACAAATAAACAACCTATGTAAAGGCATTATTTTACAATGGTTACAAAAACTGAAGTATATAACCAAACTGGAACAGCAACTTAGACACACATCTAAAGTCAACAAAAGGGCTCACAAGGGAACAAGCATTCTACTTTAGGATGTTACCATGTCATTTATGTATGACATGGTTTGTTACTCATGGTTTGTTACACTGTTATTTACTAATATTGCTAATAGCAGATTACTATACTTAGCACAATAGACTGCCAGTGGGTAGATCATACAACACAAAAAGCAGAGCTTTTTCCAAACCACAAAAAATGACAGATACATGAGGTAAGCCAAAAGGCATGGAAAAAGTACTCCTTGCAAACAAAGAAACAACCATCTGAGTAAAGTAGAAATGAAGCATTTGAAGCAAAAGTGTAATGGAAGAAGCAATATTTAGAAAGCTGGAATGGTAGATGAAAGTGAATTCTTTACTGTTGCAGAAAGCCAAAAGATAAAAGGGGCACATTTTCTGTCAACCTTCATTGTACTTGTAACAAAAAATACGTTACTTAAACCCAAGTACTTTCTCAAATGCCTGCATGCTGACAAATGATGACATCAAAGCAAACATGCTCACATTTTGGAATGCACCACATTTCAAACAGAAGAAAGAGGCAAGTAATATCACATATTGATCTCCCCGCTGCATTTTGCCATGTGATCTCCCTTAAGAATAGCATAGCTGGAAATGTTGATGAAATCCACAATGTTTACAAATAAGTTTGAATTTCTAAGAACCTGACAGACCAGCTTCTTTGAAGTTGTGCTGTTTCCGTGTACTTATGTACCATTTTGGGAGTATTTTCTGAAATTATCACAATTTTAGGCATAGGAAAATGTGGAAAATAAAAAGAGCCACCAAAGTGTGCATTTTTCCCATAGGCTACAGTGTGAACAATCTCATTTTGAGGGAATTTGCATACGAATTGCAAACGATACGACTGCAATTTTTTGGGAGTGTGGATTTCAATTTATATAACTGTGTATGAATGTATTTGCACAAATTCTGATTTAGTTAACAAGTGGTCAGGAGAATGAAAGACACTGAACAACCTGCAAAACATAAAGAGAATGGATCTTGTTCTGTCCATACATACACAGATAAAACCAAAGAGTAGCCAACCTTTATCCAAGCCACGCCAGAAATCCTGAGTTAGGTGCATCTTAAAATACTTCTCTTACAGGTTCAAATCCTTTGCTAAGTTTCACTCAAAATATCAACAACACAATTAATTCTGAACAATTTAACAGGTTTAACAGCACAATTAATTCTGAACAATTTAAAACCAACATAATACTCAACAGAAAGCACGTACAACACCTCTCTGATACTGCATGATAAACACACATGTGCACAATTATTGCTACCTAGTACAGAATCTGGCATTCAGAGACTCTCAGGTCTTTGATAAGCCAGCAAGTTTAAACTATCCTTGCTGCTAATCAAAACCTTGGTAGACAGGGTACAGAAGTGAGTAGAAAACTGAATGGCAGCAAAGAAGAGTTACAGTAGTCTAAAAGTATGACACATATGCCCTGCATAGTTCTAGACTTTATTTTTTGTTTTCTCCACCTCCAGCTGCTCACCCCAGCACCCTTACCCTAACCCATCCTTTGTGCATTACCTGACCATAACCAACAGCAAGTTCTTTGACATTTGAAATGTGGATTTCCATAGTGCTAATATGAGTATACAGAAGTCATTTTTTTAAAAGGTCAGTGACAGCCAGCACTGTTCCCACCATTAATAAGTGGCCCTCTACAAATATGCTGAACTGGGCAAGAAGTGGGTTTATATAAACCCATATATATATGGCCCAACCCACTGTATCTCAACTTTATAAAAGAAGAAGTGAACTGCTGACCACCCCCACCCCCCAACATGACTTATAATATCCATTCGTAAAGTCACATTGGTTTCAAAAGTTGATTGCATGCAGGGCAGGGGTGCTGTTTGAGTAAAGCATATTGGACTGAAAAACCCCATTTGGCAGTCCTTTTGGTCCCTTGTCTAATATAAAGCTTTAAAAATCTTGCCAAGTTTACACTAGACTACAGAATGCTGCAACCAGAAATGAGTCGCTTAAATTATCATACTAATAAACATGAAGACACCAACTTCATACTCAGTATTTGTCTAGAAATGGCCATACACAGAATTTAGTGACAACTTGCTAGGGTTTAAACAAGTTTTGAAAAGAGTCAACATACCTTTTTGCCGTTTCAACTGTGGAAAGCTGCTGATGGTGGTTGCTTGAACTATTTCCACTACAATCTGATACCTAGTTATAAAATAAAAGAAAAAGTCAGGTTTCTGTGATTTTTCTTCAGTGGCTGTATATGATTAGTTATAAGTAATCACTGAAGAAAAAAACTGTTTTCGGGGACAATGGCAAGCCTTCTGTTCAAAGAATTTGGTTTTATGTGATATCAAGGAAAGGCTGTTTTCCATTTGCTATAACAGTGTTAATATGGTAGTCCTGTTTCCTAAACTAATATGCTGCAGATTTCCTTCAGTAGTTTCACACGTCAAGGATGGATAATTGCAAAAATTACAACTTTCAATCTATCAAAAATAGTACTAGCAAGTTTCAAAAACTTTCAAAGTTTTCTGGAAAAGCCATCACGTATACAATAATAATCAAAGTATTAAACGGGCTGCTAAGATGAGGAGTGCCATAGTCATTGAGAAGTTCCTCTTTTGCACCACAGTGAAATGTATCTCTGAAAGTGATGGTACTGAGAGAAGGGCCTCCCCTTAGGATCTTAAAATCATGTCAGGCTCATACAGGAGAAAGCTCTAATCAATGCCCTGACTGCTTCACTGCTTACACTATCCCGAAAAATCAGAGATCTTGTATGCTTCTCCTCCATGGGAGCAGATGCTCCGGAACAACTGTGTCAATCCCCCAGGTCATTTTTCCATTCCAGGGACCAACCAGGACTTTTCTTGCTGAGGTCATAGGAAAATTTGGAAGAGCCATCTAGATCCATCAGTCTCTTGGGATGGATCTTCCTAATCAGTCTGCTGTCCCTGAAGAGGCTCTGAGCCCCTCAAATCTAAACCCCAAGATTTCTCCAAGATGACAGAATTATAGAAAGTTCCTCCACATCTAGATCACCATCATCTTACCTAATGCAGAAAACTAGGCCCAAGGCATGTTCTGGTCCCATTAGTGGGGCCAGACACACCACTGGAACAGACTCGTGGTTGTCATGTATGCCATTAAGTCCTAAGACACTTCAAACAAGGTGCCCTCATCATATACGTTTAAGTCTCCCCAGCACATGCTGAGAAGACCAGAGCTCCAAGACCGCCCCAGCTAGCACAGGAAGGCAGACTATTGGGCAGCAAAGCAGGCAGCACACCACCAGAAACTTTATCCTGTCCTGAATGCCCAAATATAGGTAGCCCTAAAAATGTCCATCTGTAAGCAGAAATGTTCTCTGCAAGCATTACAAAAAATGATTACAGAGCCCTAAAGAAAGCTGATTAAAAAAACAGTTGTCTCCAGAGTAACAACTTAGCTTTCAGTTGAGGAAAACAGCTGAAATAATGCTATTAAAGCAATAAACCCCACATTTATTTACATTGAGGCAGTACCTATTTACCTTATTTATGCTGTCTGCAACTCTGCTTTACTGGCAAAATATGGATCAAAAACAATGAGCTAGCTGAGTAACAAAATAATTTAACTCAGTCACCCAGAGCACTCTTCCACAGAAAACACAATTTCATTCTTATCTTTTGTTCTGTTACATTTACCCAGTCCCTTGTGTTCCAGTTCAACATATTAGCATGCAAACAGCTTAGGAGCAACGCAAACAGGAACTGACACAAATTCTACAATGCCACACCACTTATCTCCAGATTTTTCCCTTGCTTTTATCCTTTCATCTGACCTATACTTCTTTCCACAGATAAGGGATCATGTTTCCTGAAAGTTCCACAGTGTTTGGGCTGAACAAATGAGTAATAACCAAATGATACTTGCACAGAACCTTAACATTTTGCATTCAGAATATATGTACCCGCAATGATAGCAGTGCCACGACCCAGTCAGTGAAGCTGGTACTCAAGGTCCCCTCAATATCCCAAGCCTTCATCATTATAAGAAAGTCAATGGATATTTCAAATGATGTCTCTCCAAACATTCTACTATTTGCAGATTCCTCACTAAAATCCCATGAAAATCATAATGAAGGATCGCTAAAATCTAGCTGGAAAACAGAACTTTCATGCAAGTCCCTGAAACACAGCCACCTCCACTGAAAGTACAACCCAAAGAAACTAAAAAAAAACCCCATTCTGAAGTATCCAGCAATATTCTAAGCAATTTTTCAGTCCTTTTAACTATGAACAGTCCACAGCTGAGGGCAGTCATGAAATACAACCACTCTGGTTAGCAAAAATAACAGATAAACGCCCCAGGAGCCTGGCCTGCTCCCACGTGGTCAGTAAACAAAGCCTCCTGCCTCCAGATCCTGAATTGCAGGAAGTCTGGGCTGGAGAACGCACATTTCAAGGCAGGTTGCTGGTACACCCATCCAGTCTGTCCTCAACAATATGCATGCCTTAAACACCGAGATTTATCTCCTCGCGGATTCTTGACTTTGATGCCTGCACTCCCATCTCATCAAATGCCAGGGGAAATATTTTGGGATGAGTGCCCTTTGGGTTAACATAAGATACCTTAGCTGTTTGAGGAATTCAACATCAGAGCTGCTATTAATAAGCTTGATGAATTCTTCATAAGAAGGAGCATATGTGTAGGCTCTTTTGTGTTGTTCATTCACATGCTCTCTGTACTCCATCTGGGCAAGCAACATTTGGTTGATGTAGTTTGGATCACTCAGCAGTTCTACCATGGGTTTCAGTACTGAAGTTAGAACACAAAAGAAAAGAACAGATTGGAGAAAGCTATCTTTGCATTGAAGAGGATCAACCTGACATTTGGATAAAAATTAACCATACCTCAATATTGCCTTCATTTACACAATTTCTTTTTATAGCCTAATTCTGTTAATCTTTACTTGGAAGCAAGTTCCACAGTGTTCAACGGGAATTATTCCAAATATGTGTTTGGGACTGCTGCTTTACCAGCCCTAACACAGTCAGAGGTGACACGCAACCTTAAAAGTTTATACTTAACAGGAGTTTGGAAATTCAGTCCATTAAAACATTGTTGTTCCATGCTTACTAAACATTTCCTATAAACTGCAAAAGTGGGCAGCAAGCTTTAAACAAGCTGATTGACTGACTAAAGCTTGAGCTGATTGGTAAGGTCACATTTTAGAGCAGCAGGGCTGCAAATTAGAATATATTTGTATATTTTATGTACTTCCTTTAGCCTGTCGACTGACAGGAAATGGCCACAGGTTTAATGGCATGAGCATATGATTTTCATTTATAAAATAGCCTAGGTTCAACACCTCACATTTTCATTTCAAGGTGTGCTGCTTGCTTAAAACCATGGAACACTGTTGTCATTCGGGGTAGACCATTTGAGTACCAATGTACCAATGATCTGACTCGGTATAAAATAGCTTCCAATACTCCTGCAATAACATTGAGTGAAAGAGGAAGAGGAAGTCATAGCTGCACTACACCATAAAGGATATCTGGTCAAATATGATTTTTCCTCCCACAATACAGACATTTCCATCGATGAATCTGAGAAGAATGGCCACATTACCAAAAAAAGGATTTACAACATCCTGGAGACTAACAGGTTTATTGTGGCTTTTCTTTGAGACAGCTATGTACCTTCTGAGTGAGGCTGTCTTTGTCTACAATGTCACCATAATCCTCTTTCCATGAAGGTTTCTCCATGGCATATGTCAATACATTCTACAACTTTTTTAAGGGTCCATGTTCTAGACCCAGTGAACATCAAGTTTGCCCGCACACCAAGTTCAGAATAATAGTCTATCAAACCTCTAAAGAACAATTAGATTCAGTAAAGACTTCTCTGATCTTACATTCATGCTTGTTGTGTTCTGCATTTCTTAAAGTAATAAACAAAGTCAGTGCCAGTATAAGTGGTTAGGAAGTCTCATTTAATGTTATGAACTTCTGACTACTAGAACAGTGGGGTGAATTTTTTGTTCATGAACACCGATTGTTCATGATACATCTGGTTGAAAGATGGTCAGTAGTTTTAGATTTTTAGTGAAGAATAAAATGGAACAGTTACTAAATGACTTATAGGAGAGAGAGGAGGAGCAAAACTGAGAGAGGAGAGAGGAGGAGAGAAAACTGAACCCTAACGCCTTTAAATTACAGCACGTGAGTTCATGTGTTCCAGTGTAATGTTCACATACATGCCCGTGCTCACAGAATGCAACAGACATTGTCTCCACCCATGTTATTTGCCTTTTTCTGCACTGAACAGAGTTGCAGAGAGACTGGGACCCCAGCCACGCCATGTCTCATCTGTCTGCAGAGCTCCATAGGTAGGACTGTGACAGTGGAAACACAGAAAAAGGTAGACAAACTGATAGAACCTACTGGTAATGGAAGAAAAGAATACTGCTCAGCAGCAAAGACCAGAGTCAAATTAAAGGAGCGTTTGTATCTTAGTTAAGGGCACCTTATTAGCTTAGTTAAGGACATCTGAAATCCATAATTCTTAAAGATTTCCAAAAAAATATTTTTTCATTAATTTCCAATATTCATCAATACATAAAGCACTGGAAGTAAAGATGTTGCCAAATTTCCATGAACAGAGCTTAATACTTCACCCTTGTAATTATGACATAAGTTAGATAATCAATCACCATAAAAATGAACCACATAAGGAACTATATTATCTAACAAAATGTGATTTACAAAAGACAGATGCCCTCATGCTTCAACAAACTGCAAAATCTGTTGCAATTTTCCTATTTGCCAAGATCCCTGGGTCTTTGAAAGATCAATGTTTTCTTCTTAATAATGAGATATTTAAAATAAGCTTTTGCTAATTATTAAAGTATTTTAAATTTAATGAGGGTACTATTCATTCTTGCACCAATGCGTGAAATCCCAGTAAACCTTCTATAAGGCTAGCTTATTGCCTATCCTTCTTGTGATAAAATGCAACAAATATCCCTAAACGAGAAGTTGAAATCTTTTATAACCCAGTTCAGCATGTGTCCAACTGCACAACTTTGTAAGGTAGGCATATTGGAGAGACAGTGAAGATTTTGGCAGTTGCTTAAATAGCAAGACTGATACAGCCAAATCTATGAAGGTGCATTTTTCCTTTTCCTTTCCTTGTTGAAACTTGCAACAAAAATAAATTCTAAAAACACAACAATACAGTGGCATCAGAGTATACCTTCAGCAGACACCCTTGAACAATCCAGTTCTGCATCACAATGATAATTTCTTAACAGGGAAAAAAGCTTCCTGTGTATGTATTATATGTAGCTTACATAGCATTACATTTTAAGGGCAAGTTTTCTGACTAATTTAATCTATGTACTGGTATTATCATCACCAGCACAGGAGCTGCGCAAATGTTTAACTACTGCTTAATCATAGTTACCTTTTGATGCTAGTATTTCTGCAAGCACTATGCGCAAACTCAGAGACCGGGCATCCTTCGAGGGCAGGAGACAGTACACCAGAATTTGGGAACATGCTTGCAGGAATCTTGCTTCTTCCTCAGGGTTCCTCAAACAAGGGTGCAGTAAAAATGGTCGTGGTTGTTCTTCCAGTCTACAAAAGAACAGCACAAATGTAGCCATCTTCGAGTCATTGTTACTTTAAAATAAATTCATAATAGAAGAAAATCATGTATGCATAAAAATGTGTGAAAATGCATTGCCTTTTAACATGAAAAATCATTTCTTTGTAAAGCTGAGGTTCCTGTGCTTCCCCCTTCACTCTCATCCACTGTTGTGGATTGTTCATGAAGTTTGCTTTTTTGGGTAAAATTAGAGTTCAGTGCAAAATTAGATTGCACCATGGTCAATCAAAACCTAGCCATTCATTATTAAATTGCTCTCTGCTAAATTCTGTATTTAAATACATTAAATTTATTTAAATACATATTTATTCCATAACATCTGAGGATTGTGCTAACCAATGGATCTCTGGGCAATTCACAAAATCTAACTTTAAGACGTGGCTTAGATACAAGACAGTAAAAGCAGAAAAATGTCAACACTTATCACAGTCTTGCAAATAGCTACTTGCCAGGTTGCCTGTGTCTAGTAAAAACTGCTCCCAAACGTTTTATGCATTAAACAATCCAATATATATAAGAAGAAACTGTAGGTTAATTAACCTACAATTTGTCACTGTGATGTCTGAACCAAGTCATTTCCTGAGTGGAAAATCCACACACTTCCAACTTCAGTCTACCATAGCTGTGTTTAAAAGTGGTGAACTTCTGCACTGTTGATCCAGGTGAGAGCATAAAGAGCTGTTTTGAAAGACTTCTAGACCACATATTTATGTAGAAAGGAGGGTGACAGATAAAAGAAAAAGAAACACCAGCATTTCGCTCAGGAACATAAGAAGGAGCCTTTTCAAAGTGAATCGTTGTAACCTATTCCTTTAACAGCAGTTTTTCAGTAAATATATAAAGCCCTCAGGCCCATTCTGATTCTTCATCGTTTTGACCATGTAATGGTCATGCAAGCTGAACAAGACATAAATCTGAAATATGTTTTCCACAGCAATAAATCTATATGACATTTTACATAGAATATTCACCAACATCCAAGGGAAAACAAATGGGTGAATATGGCTCTCAGTACCTAAGCATCTTGCAAAAGAATTAGAACATTAGAACATGCATGAACTGCTAGAAATGTTTATGAAGTGAAAGACGGTCCAATTTATGTTGTTAGCATGAAAATAAAGAACCTGCAGATAATGGATGGTTCCCTCTTTTAAATTTGCTAAGGCAAGATGGCCTAGGAAGCATATCAGGTTATTTCAGGGGGTTTTTAATACATGATTTTTGACATGCCTTGATATATTTGCAAAGAAAAAATCCTCTAATGTTCTTCATATTTACCACTTCCTTCTTTTAAAATGAGTTTACTGCAATTTGGAGAGGGAAAATTAAGAAAGAAAATAGTAAGTTTCTTTTCTCTACAGATTTTGATGTCTTACAGCAATTTATAAAGCTGGGTGGCGAGATTTGCTCAATGGAAGAGCCAAATATGGTAAATGTCAGATGCTTGAGAGCTAAAAGAAGGTGCCTGTGGGAAAAGAAGGTGCCTGTGGGAAGCAGCACCAGGGGGCAATGAGCGGCAAGCAGGTACCTGGAGCAGCAAGCAGCCAAATAAACTCAAAGAACCACATACGGCTCATGAGCCTTGCTTTGGCCACCCCTGTTATAAGGCCTTTGGAATATTAACAACAAATCAGCACCTGGAAATTAATTTTCTGAAAAGGCATATAAACTATACCGAATGCTTGACTAGGAAAGACTTCTGTAGACTGCCAGAGAGTTAAAAAAATGTAATGCAACAAGTGGGGGCAGGCTGGGGGAGAGCCAATACCATATTACCTTTGTAGAAATGAAGAAGCATCCATGATTTTCCTTCTGCTTAAAATCTGTGTTAAGAACATTTAATTTGGGAAAGAAAACTTCACAGATACTGCCAAAGGAGTGCAAAAGTAATCTGATATATCCTTGACCTCTCAGTAAAAATATGTATATTAATTCTATGAGTGCCAATTCAAGAGTATATTAGGTACAAGACAAAAGCACTGCAAATTACATAAAGCAGCAGTCCTTATGGCAGCCTCAGTAAGGTTTTTGTCTAATGCAATTGCAACAAATGAACATCTACCACCTATAACCCTGGCGTCCACTTTGCTTGTCCTTTTGGAGCTTTGTATATCCCCATACCAGGATATGAAGCGGCATATCAATCTTGTAATATAAATAAAAAGGTGCACAGACATATTTTTTCTAGTCAGACGGATGTTAAGATCTTTCTGTCATTTAATTCTTATGTCTTTATGATTGTTTGGATTTGTATTGCCTTAATAGTTGTACTTCTTTTTATTGAAGCATGGTGCAGCAATATTTCAGATAAACATGTTTAAAAGGGAAACATACAGCCAGGGACCTTCAAGGACAAGCAGAGAGTTAAACTCAGTTTTCATGATAGACGTCCAAAACATGATCCTCTACAACACAGAGATTCTCATAACAGCTATACAGCTATCACTGATCCTACTCAATAGCTATCTTGGCAGGAAAAAGGGAGCTCTGAGATCATAGGAGGGCAATCTCCAGCTCACAGACCTTCTAGCCCATGATGGTTGCCCATCCAGCTCATCTAGACTTTGGCTCACTCCACTGGGGCCCCCCTAATCTTCCCAAGCCCCACTGCCTTTTCCTAAGGACTTTGAGAGGAAGCAAGCAGAAGGACCTCCCATCTATAATAGAAGATAGCAAGAGGATTCCTCACACATGCCAGAGGGCTTCAGTTCCTAATGCAAGAGAAGAGGACAACAGTTATCCATGTCTAAAAATAAATAAGCAGCACTGTTCTTTTTCCAAGAGTCATTTTGTGGCAACTTCCTTTGCCTATATTTAATCAACGTCTTCACTCACAACACAAAAAGGATTGGCAAAATGTGCTGTTTATAGTAAAGTATTGAGACAATATACCAACTTCTCACCATATTCATTTAAATGAGCCTAGCCAGAGATCTGCTCTTGCTGATCAGTGGTGAAGCTCTGATCTCACCAAAGTCACAGTTATGAGAGATGACAGTGGTCTCCACACACACAAATGACAACTTTTTGCACATCAACACAAGCAACACAGAATTTATGTGACAATTCGGTAAGAGAAGGCCTATATGGCCTGACAAGAGAACAGGATGAGGCCTACAATCCTGCCTATCTCTTCGGTGTTTTCTGGCTGGATAAACTAGATTCAAGTCAGCAACAAGGCACAGAGACAGATACAAGTTGTCTGTGTCTTTGACTGGTCAGTATTGCTATAGTTGTTGTTTGTCTTGTCCTAAACAGTCTTTGCAATTTCAGTACAGTTTTAGAAACAAGTGGTAGAAAAGTCTTGTAATTAAACTAAAATAGATACATAATGAGAGAATGCAGTATTACCTGGAATTGGCTGTTTTAAGGTCACAGAAGTGGGTGAACAAAACTTTCACTACATCATTGCAGACAACTTTAACTACATCAATGTGACTGAGCCTGTGTCGCAACTGCTTAGCAACTTCCCAGAAGTCTTCTGATAGCAGGTGGTACAGCTGCCCCTCGTCTCTGCTGAGGTTCCCATACCAAGACAAAACATAATCTCTGTAGCTGTAGTCAAACACTGAAACAAAAACAATACCAAAGATGAAGTTGCAGCATCCTGTCTGGACCCTTACAAACAGGCAAAGCAATGCACAATTAGTATCCAAAAAGCCTACCTCCTTTATATTCTCCCTTTCCAGAAATAAGAACACAATGCTACAATGCAAGAAATTTGATCTAAGAAAACTAGGAGGAGTCAACAAGGAAAGCTTGTAATGGAATAATCCTATCTATATGTAGTCAGAAAAGAGCCCTACAACTCCCAGCATGCCCGAGCTATGACTTTTATGGAGATTTTTTCTTTTTTTATTTTGCCAGAAAAGGTTAAGGATTGCACCCTAAGTCGATTTGCTTACTCAACCACCTGAAGAATTCCAAATGACATTCCCATTACATGGGAGCCACTATTCCATGGTAATAGAACAGCCAAGGTGTGGTGTTAGGGCAGATGATGCAGCCACCTTGCAAAGCTAAATTAAAAAAAAAACCAATCTAGTCAGCACTTAGATCACAAACCTCCTAGGGATGCTACACAGGTGGAATATAAATATATGTACTGAATAGAGTATCCAAGTAGTCCCCAGCTCATATTTATGCATCTGTTGCAAGAAAAAAGTAGGGCCAACCTAATTCTTAAATGCATCCTGTCTGGAAGCTGGGAATATTCTTCCACCTATCTGCACCTCAACACAACCACTGCAACAGAAAGAGCTGGCCAGAAAGTAAGGATCACAGCAGCTGTTAATAGAAAATGTCTGTAACATCACCATTGTGAGCAATGCAAGTCTCTTCTTATGCTGCCATTTTGTGACTCTGAAGTATTCCAGTTTCCTTTTTCAGAAGAAATCCTTCATAAAGCACTTCAGTAGCAAAGAGGAATAACTTAGACCAACAAAGCTACTCCTTACCACTGCCTTTGCAAGTCAGTATTAATTTATACATAGATGTTCACTAAGCCACTTTTATCAGGTGGTAACCAAACATAAGCCATGTCTCCACTGTTTTCCAATGAAATGGTCTGGATTTTGCTTATACAATAATTAATTTTAGGCTACACAAGCCATATTATATTAGATGTATGCACATTAAGTATATATCAACACTGTATTTTCTTTGCAGATGAAGGCATGTGCTGTTTAAACTAGCAGCCACAAATTCTGGCACAAGCAATCAAATCAAATCAATAAAGTGAACTAAGTCTGTCATCTACAGTGCTTGTCCTAATTGCCTGCTTGCCTATCTCATGGGGAAACAATAGCTGCAGAAAGTGGAACTACTCTTGATGATTTTGGGGACCAATATCATTTTTCTATAGACAAAAAGACAAATGCTCCCTAGTAGTACAGAGGGAACAACATAAAAAGAGTAAAAAAAGAAAAATAAGAGAAAGCTCTAAATGGGCAATGAGGAGTGGCCGCCTTGTTCAGTTTCATCAAGGCCGCTGCTGTTTATTTATTAAAGTATCAACAGTCCACTTTCCCACAGTTTTTAAATGATCCAACAATGCAGTAAAGGCAATAAAACAATGAACATGTTTTTCTTGTTTTAAAAATCACACTAGAGACAATGCAATTAAAAATACATCTCTGGGCAATGACACGTCACCACAGCTAGGACAAAACCCTCAGCAAACACTTAAACTGATGCCTGCAGATAAGTAAAGAGGGAAATGAGCAAATCTTCTGGTATAGGGAGTTCCCTTCCATGCATCTCAGCCAACCTCACCTCTGATAACCGCGGATGGCAGAAAAGCTGCCCCAGCAATCAAAGCATATAGGTAGGTCCATGAGGAATTTATTATTGATTTTCTATACTGCCCAATATCTGAAGTTCACTGGGTAGTTCACAAAAATTTCTTGAACAATGAAACAGAATAAAAATCCATATACAATAAAACACAGTATACAAATTCAAGTGCACAAATATGAAACCATTAAACAAAAACAGTTTAAACATCTAAAACAAATTAAATAAAACTAGAACAACTGATATGTCCCATCACACTATACATGCCATTGAGCACCTGAGAATACAGGAAACTATCCTTTAACTCTCCTGGGCTCAAATCAGTCCAACCATTACAGGTCACACACCACTACGCCTGGATTGGCAGTCCTATTGACCAAGAACAGCATTAGTTTCTAGCTCAGACAGAGTCTACTGAAGCCCTGGCACCATCTCCTATTACTACAAACAGTCTTTCAGGGGAGTTTTCCACATGCTTTGGGAGGATGAAAAAAATCAAGACTGAATAGCACCCTATTCTATCAGTGGAATTCCATTTCCAGAAGTCTGGATCCACCCCTGTCTACTGTAGCCAATGACAGCACATTATTAGCATCCCACTTCTCTGTACAACTTGAAGTACTTGGAGGCAAGTTCCTACATTTGTTTGTTTTATAAATATATTACGCTTACAGTGGAATATTGAAAACTTTCTCATGAAGTAACTAGCTACTGTCTAGTGATTTCCAATGTGGTACCTGCTGATGTCACTGCACCTATAAGGTGCCCACAATGTGACTGTCGCTCCTTAAAGAAACGTATGGAGCTATTCCTCATAAGCTTGTATAGGAAATGAAAACGGTCCTTGCCAAAAAATTGACTGGGGGTCAGAGAACAAAGACTCTTGGGGCTACAGTTCTTGGAAGGGGATACACTTCATCTCCCTCCAGTTAATTTTTGGCAAGGGACTTTGCCCTATACCAAAAGGCAAAATTGCTCCATTAAGTTATATGAGAATGGAGAAAGTATGTCCTAAGAGAAAAGAGAAGAAAGGTAAAGGGGGAAAAAGGGACCAGAGAAAGAAAAAGAGCCATAAGAAAGAACAGACAGGGGAAGGGGGTGGGGGAGAGGATCCAGAAAAAGAGAGAGAGAAAAGGGGGTGGGGAACAGCAGCCAGAAAAAGAGAAGGAAGCAAGGAAAGAAAGAGGACCCAAAGAGAGAAAAGGAAAAAGAGAGGGCTCTTCTACATGAGGCATTATTGGATGCTCCCAATTTTCATCATCCTACCAGAGCCTCTCCCAAGTTTTCTAGACATTTTCGTTACATTTTTTTTAGAGCAAGGGAAGTCTGATATTTTCCTATATGGCATCATTATTCATTACACAGGCCTAGTGCATTTTTGAAATTCACCTCTATATCACAGTTCCACCTTGTATTGTGTAATGGAATGTAGAGGAACATGCAGAAGGCCAAACAGAAAAACTCCAGGAGGAAAAAAATTACTATGAAAGGTGCTGTAATCCTTGAACAAAGGGGAAAAAAGCAGCCTTGGTAAAGCCACTGGGTGACATGCCTTCATGTACAGAAGGCTGGAGGAAGAAGAGCCAGAACAAGTGGGAGAAAGAGAGGGCAGGAAGATAGAGAGACAAGAGTGGGTAACACGCAAACACACGGAGAGACTGTAGAGGATTGGGGCAGTCAATCTGCAGTAGTGTCAAGGGCATTCACAAACATATTGGAGACTGCTAAAATTAGATGATCTTAAAAGAGACCTACCTTCTTTCAGAGCTTTATCCATGTTATGAGAAATCATCACTCTCCTTGACTGGACAGGTTCCTGCGCATTTCCAGATACAAAATTCTGAATAAAAGAAAGATAAACACACACATGCCTAAGACATGGATGAACACTGCATATGGGGAAAGGGAGATTTGATTACTAAATCCAGCATAATCCATCCTTGTTTGAGACACCTAGCCAAGCTATTACAAACAACCTGTCAATGGGAATTTTCTTTCAAAGCTTGTGTTGCCAAAAATCCTGGTCAGTATTCAACTCCAAAGTTCTTCAATCTCAACAAGCAACTTGAAAATACTTAAAATTATTTATCATTTAGATATAAGCATATCACTGAAACTGAAAGGGCCAAGATATTTCATAACCTAAAGATGTAAAGAGTGGAGCTGCTTATCTCATATATTAAGTGCCAAGCAGGAGCAGAGTCAATTGTCATGGTACACAACAGGAAAATACCACCATATATTTGTTGAAGTCATGGAAACCAACATTTCATATGTTGAAAGCATGCCAAGAAAATCAGCACCTCTAGAAGCCCTTCCTGTACTTCATGCTTTGGGTAAATAAATGCATATCTGAACAGACCACACATCTTCCCTCAAAGCTGAGTTTCTGTTTAAGGAAACCCTCATTTTCCAAAAACTGAATGAGCAACAGGAGAATTTACTTGTTCCCCGGCTAACATATGTACCTAGTAGTGTGAAGTATAAGACTACTCCCAAAAAGATATATTTAAAGCTTGCCCCATCCACATGCCTGCAGGCAAGGAACCAGGTATGTACATATGCATACACACACACACATACAAATAAAGTGACTCTTTAATCAAAAGCTTGCATTCTGCTCTCATATGACCCTTTCCCCAGGATACCTCTGAGTTACTGTTTGATGTAATTTGGGAGATCTGTGAATGTGATTACAGTTGTTTGTCTCCTTGTTTTAAATGAATAACAGACACTGGAGAAAAAGGGGGGTGTACAAATTGGATTAAGGCAATGGTGCTGGGGGTTAACTCTTTCACCCATGCCATTTTCCCAGTTAAAATCCCCACTCACAGTAGCCTTAACTGAGGGAGAGGAGGGAAAGAGTCACAAAAGCACAGCCTGCAGGTGGATAACAGGATATATACAGGTTTCAGAAAGCAATCAGAAGACAGAAACAATTTCCGAACACACAAACTAAGGTCATTTCATATGTGATGACAGTAACAGGTATGTACTATAAGGATACCAGGAGCTGCCTTAGATTGAATAAATTAATGGATTGTTCTGGGCTAGATGATACTTGGTAATCAGGAAGCAGCCCTACAAGGTATCAAGCCACTATCAGAGCCAGGGAGGCATAGGGGTTAGAGTGTTGGTCTGGGACTTGGAAGATCCAGGTTCTGGTCTCTGCTTGGCCATGGAATTCACAGGGAGATTCTGGACCAGTCACAGACTATCACCTAATCTATCTTATATGATTGTTAAAATAGAAAGAACTTTGTAAACTGCCTTGGCTTCCTTCTCACAAGAAGAAATGAAGGGTGTAAATGCAATGTAATAATTATAACATCTCCTTTCCAAGGCTGAAATCCTAAATATTCTTATAAAGGAGACAATCACATAGAATTCAATTGGCCTTACTTCTGAGCAAAAGTCCTTAGGATTACATGCTACAAAGGCAATTGAATTTGGGACATTCGACACGTAACACTGGTTCATGGTGGATATGCCCATTGAATCATCTTGTGAATGTACCTGCCAGGGACCAAATTACATTGGGGGTATGATCCTTTCCCTTGGTTGTAATTCTGCCTGGGACCTTCTACATGCAAAGCAAGGGCTGCTTTACCAAGGCAAATCTTTTTATAGCCATTCTAAGTTAGGGACTGCTACCTACCACATTTGTTAATGAACGGAAGAGGCTGTTTTATCCTGTTTGACTATTATTTCATCTAGCTCAGTATTGTCCACTCCAACTGGAAATGGCTATGCAAAGTCTCATACAAAGACTTCTGAGCAAAGAAAAAGGATAATAAAAACAATAGAGGGTTAAAAAGCTTTGGGAGATAAAAAAGCCAATGGAAATGAAATAATATCAAAGGTACTTCTTTAGGGACAGCATTCCACTGAGTAAACCCTTTCTCTTATAAGTGCCCTCTGTATCTCAGTTGGTCAAAGCAAGACCATTAATATCTTAGTGTACAGACTGACACATGTAGAGACAAGAGGTCCTTCAGGCAATCTACTCCTAAGCCATGAAGACTTTTAAAATAAAACTAAGTCACACCACTGGGTTATGGCTATTCTCTAAAGCTTTCACAGACAGCTAGCATAAGCAATAAAACCAGTTCATGCAGATTTATCCATCCTCTTGGTTCTTCTCAAACAATGTGAGAAAAAAATAAAACCTACTTCCCATGGTCAAAACTAGGTATGATTTCTATGATGCCATGAGGGAAAAAATGGCAAGAGGCCAAGGATAAACAACATAATGAACTTGAACACTGCAAAAGGAAAGCTCTTCTTCAACTTTGGGACACAGATTAAAGACCAAGTTTCACAAAAAGCAGTATACAATGAGTCATATGTGCTTAATGTTTGATATTGCAACAATTAATATTATCACAAGAGAATACAACTATGTCTGGATGTCCATTAATGTCAGATGTAACTTTGGTAATGAAGAGTTATTGCTTCTAATATTGTTTTAGTATCTCTTATCCAAGCTTTAATTTAAGAACAAAATTCACAACTGCTACTAAAGTAGCTCCCTGAATAAAGCTCCCAGCTGTTCCACTTTTCAAGCAAATCCAAACAGGAAGCTTCTAATTAACCATTGTTTTCTGTTTCAGCTAAACTGGGAAGCCATGATTACCAGCTTCAATATAAGCCAGGATATTAAACACAGTTTGAAGTTAGTTTAATTTTATAGTTTGTTCCAAGGCCGCTAATTATAGTTTCTGGTTCAGGCAAAATAGCTAATCCCTCAAAGCAAAAAGTGAAGGAGTTGTATGTTAGGGCAAAAGACTCATTTGATCAAAGTTTATTAAGGTAACCTTATCATCTGAATACATCTTATATATCAGATTTGTGTGTGTGTGTGCAGAAGGGGATCATTTGCACACCTTATCACCTAATCTTGGCTAACCTGGCAACATATCTGAGGTGTTACATTTTTAAAGCTAATTGACATCTAAATCAGGAATGTTTATAGCTACTAACAAGGCTCCCTGTAACAAGTGAAGATTGTGCAATCAGATAGAAAAGATTATACAGATGTTAATTGCAGTTATTTTAAACCCATGTATAAGTGAGCTTTGTTAAAAATGTTTGTATCTCCTCTGTAGGCTTCTGTATTTTGTTCAACAACTTTGAGGGAGACATAAGAGTATTAACATGGTTAAATTAGCCACTCTGCTGTAACAATATTCCTAGGCTACTGAACTATAGAAAAACACAACCTCTGAACTCTACAAAACCTCAGTGCAACCCAAGATAGACACTCTTCTATCGTACCTTTATCTCAAGAAAGGACCCCAAAATGAACAATTCTTGGCAGATCCTTCTATGGGTAGGTCAGGTCTGCCCAAAACTACTGCTAGAAAACTCCATTTAAAGGCAGTGTGGCATTAAACCTTCCGTCTTTACATGACCTAGAAGCATATCCATGCAGTTGCTAGGTAACTGCTAATTCCTCCTCACACACATCCTCCCCACATATTTAAAAGTTATTAGCATCATTCACAAGTCTGTCAATGTGAAAAACTGTCTAGGACACATGGCCATCATTAATAAACTTTTAGGTCTCCCCACCCCTGCATTAATTCCATGTTCAGATAACCACATAACTCTCTGAACAAAACAAAACAAAAAGATACTTTAGGCAAGTCTCCTGTATAAATTGGCCATGGCACAATAACCATCTAATTCTATGTACTCTAAATGACATTCAGAGCCAATATTTCAGATAATTAAAACTATTCTAGATTTTAGAACCCAGAGATAGCAATGTTGGTGTCCTGAAAACAAAATAAGGATAGGGTCTTTTAACAGTTACTAACATAGGTTTTGCAATTATCAATCTTTAGTTCCAAGAACTTTATGATCCACTGCTTGCCATGCCTTCCCAGAAAGTATATGTGCTTATATTACTTAATATTTATCCTATTTAGGAATATATATTTTGGTAAATTGGTAAATCTATTGGTAAATTATTTCATTAAGTAGCATGCAGTAGCAAACAATGAGACTGATGGGGAGAGAGGAGATCAAAAGAGGAAGAGCCAGACAGCCAGCTGAAGCTGAACAAATGACATCTAGCATTTCTATACACAAAAGCAACAGGGCATTCATTTGTTTTCTTCTATGCTATCCTAAACACAGTAAAATTGTAAAAAAAAAAAAAAAGGAAAAATATAAAAGGAAGTCCAGGGCTATTTTCCAGCAACCCCAGACCACCTAAGCATGCACATACAAACAAACATATTTATTTTACTCTTGAGAAAAATGTGGGTGTTGTAAGACAGCAGCATTTTCCTTCTGTGTAGGACAGCACACTGGACTTGGGAATAAGAAGCAGAAATTGGAATTTTTATTAGATCCAAGAGCACTGCAATAACTTGCTCAGGAAAAAAAAATGTTACTGCCCCACAGCCATCATATCTTGTTCAGATGACCTGCAGCTTCCAGGTCTTGCTCAGAAAAAAACAGGAAATGACTCACAGCCACCAAATCTTAGGAAAAGTTGGGTTCCTAACAGCAGCAACACTCTTACAGTCATTTTAATTGCCTGCCAGCCCATCTCTTGAACAATTAAAGTGGCCTGGCTTCTTTCTTTCTACTACTTCCTTCTAACTCTGTTCTGCTTAGCAAGGTGGCTTCTTCCCCCATCCAACTCCCTGCCCACTGATAGGAGCACTGTTAAATTCACCTCAGGCAGGCTTCCCCAATTCCTTCTACCTATTCTGCAATGGGGAAGCTGTTCTGTGCTCAGGTGTCCCCTGCATGCACAAGCAAACAAAGACAATGGAGTTGGGCAGGGGAAAATACTCAGTAACAGCAGCTGGCAGCCAAGTGGATACTACACATGGCTTGAGTTGCTAGGCAACACGCCTCAATCCAAATCTTGACACAGGTGGGGGGCAAAGGGTTGAGTGTTCATTGCCCCTCCAACCCAAGAATGCCAGATATCCTTGGCAGATTTAAATTTATTAAAATAAATGAAAACAAATGTGGTCTACTTTTCTGGTCAAGATACTCTGCTCCATTTGCCCACCATAAAACTTACTGCAAAGAAATTACTCAAAAAAGCCGGTTTATTTTCAACTACAACATAAATGCACTCCCCCAACAAACAAACAAACAAAAACCCAATAGCATACTTGTCTAGTAAAGGCAGACAGATGGATAAAAGGAAAATGGGGAGGGTGTTTGAGAAGAAAATAGGTATGCATGCTATCAAAAGAAAGCAGAAAGCACACATTTATAAGTCAAGTGCTACAAAAGAAGTAGGCATCTGTAGAAGCAGTTGTGACAAATCAGTTGGTCTGCATCTCTACCCTGAAAGGTAATACAAGCTTCAAGACACCTTTTTTTGTCTATATTTCTAAGAGGTAGCACCACCACCACTCATAGCTTAACTCTTATGTAATATGAATAATCAACCACTTGTTACCTGTAACTGAACATTAATATTAAATAACTCATTCCCTAGATTCTTGAAAAGTCTGCAAAGGATTTAATTCTATTAGCTAATACTTCATTACCAAAACAGGAAACATCATTCCAAGGTTACCTGCCTACAAGCAATCAAGAAATTACTCCCCATCTGAGAATGTTATCAGGAGACAGAATCCAAACCAGAAGGACAAGGAAGATTCATTCCTGAAAACTAGAAGCTAAAAGGTATGCTGGGCCATTATGTAAAGATAACAGTTATCAGGAACTACACAGTAGGTCTCACTTTAGAATGAAACTGATCCCATTACTAAAGGCCGATTAGCAGTTTAAGTGTACAAACCAGTAAGGACACAAAACTATAGAATAGCCATGGGCAGTCTTCAACAAGAAACCACAGTATGGCTTGTGGACTACAACCAAAGACACATGAGCCATAATTTTTTTTTGAGAACAGTAAGTGGGCTTATTTGCAATGCTGTTCTACAAACCTAGCAACTAGATCATAAAAATATAATGAAGATATATGTCCAATTAGACTATATTAATACATGATAGGTTAGTTTTAATAATTCAGTGTGTAAAACAGTCCACATGATTGCTGTTTGCGGCTGTCTGTGCATGGACCTTTTTCAGGCAAATTCTGCACAGAATCCATTCAAGAGCTTTTGACTGCATATGTTCCTTTGGTGGCAAACTAAAATCTTTGTGATCTTTATCAGTTTGGATGTGATCAGTTGAATCAAATCAAGGAGTTCAACATAACAAAATATATTGTTAGTAAAGAGGCCTGGAGCCTGACATCATTACTGATTCTGTCTACATGTAACATGGTTCTCCTTCAGATGTTGCAAACTAAACTGTAGAACAAGGCATAGTTTACAGTATGTAAAGAGTTAAAAGTATTTGGAATTTCTCCAGATTTATTTGTATCTGTATGTAAAAGGAAGGAAATAAATCAAGCTATATGCTGATTTCTTTGTAAGGAAGGAAATAAATCAGGCTATATGCTTGATAAGAATAACAGTTGGCACACATTCATTTTGTCTGGTGTATAAACAATAGGTGCGGAACAAATACACATGTCTGCTTTACTTGTCATATCCAGGTTTTTTCTGGGCTCCCAATAGCTGGCTGGTTACAGCCAATGTATCTGACGAGCCAATCGTAATGAGCCATTCCTGGAAAAAAAAAAAAGGCAGACTACAAAGCAAGGAGGTCACAATAATTGGATCTTAGCCATTACTATCTATGGAGACTTACCAGACTGCAGCTCAGATAAGTAACTATCGACACTAACCCAGTATAGCCCATAGTACGACTTGTATTTTGTGTACTCAACAGCAATTACTTAGTTCAAGACAAGAAAGGCTCTCCTGACTTCTGCATTATACTCTTTTAGTGTGAGGGAACAGCTTCATATTTGCCTTGGTGTTTTAGTCTTTCAGTTTCTGTTACTTTAAATCTGTTGCTGAGGGAACTTTGGCTATTTGGCTACAATAAAGAAATAAAATATTTTCTCATTCAGTTAGTTTTTAAAATGGCCCTACAAGTTCAGTTTCTATTTGTCCATCAGGTTGAATAATTCTCAGCAAATATTTATCTATCATGTTTCACACTGACATTTCTCCTATGGATGCAGTGTCTCTGTACAAGGAGTACATAGGCCAGGAGTAGAGAACCTACTTCAACTCGGGGACCAAATTCAATTAAAGGGAGGCTCTCGTGGGTGCATCCCTCTTAGAGCAGGCATTTCAACCCCGTGAATGAGGAAGAACTGCATAAAATTTGGGAGAAAGCGAGCAGAGCAGAGGAAGAAGGCAATGGCATCTAATGAACGCAGGTGGGTCAGACTGGAATCCAAGGAAGGCCAGATTTGGCTCCCAGGCCTGAAATTCCTTAACCATGGCATAGGCCCCAGGTGGCCAGACTTGCTCAATGGAAGAGCCACGTCAGGTAAATGTTAGATGTTTGAGAGAGGCAAGCAAGCACCTGCAGGTGACAGTGACAGGTTGCGAGTGACAAGCAAGTACTCATGGGTGGTGGCAGTAAGTGGTGAGCTGCAAAATTAATTCATCAAGAGCTGCATGTGACTTGCAAGCCTCAATTTGGACACCCCTAGCATAGGCCATGATGTACTGCAAATGTGCATCTAGTTTGTCATGTGTTACAATGTGCACACACCTTTTCCTAAACAGTCAAAACATACATGTAAGAAAACTCTAATAATGAAGCAGGTGAATACATCATTTTTGCAGACAACTTAGATGCATTGTTTTCAGCAGATATGATATCCTAAAACATGCAGATGACCAGCTGACTTCATGGTATGTATCAATGGTTGATTTATTTGCATTTTAGAAAAAGAATACCTTCCCTAAACATAAAATATTTGCATCAAAATAAATCGACTGAAGAAAATGTTCAACAAGGCCCCCTGCAGCTCTACAATTCTAAAGTGGTCTATGTGCTTAATTTGATCCACATCAACTGAATATACTTCCCAGTAAATGCATTTTGAGTTGAGATGTCATATTAAATAAAAGGAGGAAGAGAAGAAGTAATTTGGACTTACAAGGTATGAAATCTTGAAGAATCTGTGAAAAACACATCCACATGGGAGCTTGTCCAGGTCTGTTATGCTAATTCAACAGAATCAGCACCTACAAACTGACTGTGCTGATCCAAGTGCTGATTTTCACTAATCCTCCCACCCATGAAAGATTTGTGTATTTTAGCAGGTTCACTATGGCCTGGTACACATTTGAAGGGCTAGATCCATGTCTGGATTATACATTTCAGCCTGCAGATGACAGAATCCTCCATTGAAACAAAAATCCCTTTGTAAAGAGAATCAAATGTCCAACAAAAAGTGTGTGTCTACGTCTGTAAATGAAGGGAGTTGTGTGATACATGTTGAACATTTTTGCATAGATGTACATTCTAACACATAAACTCCCACCTCTAGTGGCACATTCTACAGAAAGTTTACCACTTTGGTGAAAACTAAGACCAGACTGCAGAATGTCATCACAATCCCTTGCAACCTGTTTCTTCCCTCTGGTGCTACTTCTTGCCCTTCTAATTTTAGGCTTAAGTGCTGAAACCAAAAAGAGAAAAGCTTCAGCAAATCAGTGCAGAGAGAGCCCAAACATGTTGATGACTGAGAAACCAAATGACATCTGCCATGGCAAATATATGTTACCAAATGCCAACCCAAGTGCCAATTTCACTGCCTTTTAATTGTACCCCAATCACCAGTGCTTTAGGTGGCCCATGTCATCCTTCCTTTTCATACAGCCAGCTTTGATATAAGGAGCTGATTCTTACTGAAACCCTACTTAAATTAAACAATTGAACAAGGAGGTGTTAAAAGTTGAGAACCTTAGATGTTTCTGTATTTTATTCACAAGCAGATACTATTTAAGTATTACCTTAAAGCCATGCAGATCAAAAAATGGCCAACTAATGCTACTGAACTGAACCAGCACTTTTTAATCTTACTTGGAACAATTTACCAGTATTGCATTTTCTAGTCTGAAACAATCCTTTGAGATATTGGACAGTGCAGCCAAAATAACTAAAGCAGCTGCACTGTCACTGTACAGGCCATGCTGTGAGATCCCCATCATTCAACAGGAAGATAAAATTAAGTACCAAGCTGCTAAGCATACACATGTACACCCCAAGCAGGAAGAATTCTCTCCCTTTATTCCTCTGAATGCACCAGATATAAGGGAGAAGTCAACCTGATCGTTGTTTTACTTGATAAAAGGAGATCCTGAAACATAAGCAATAGCTGAGAGCAATAGCTAAAAAAAATCCCTGCACTCTAAACCCAGAAGCATGGAAGACCCTAGCTCCGATTCCGACGTTGTGAGGAAATCATACTCTTTATAAGCGCAGAGGCATTTCATTCTACACAGCCAAACACTTGAAGGAAGGCTGAGGACAGCTGAGTTTTAACCATTTTTAAAGCCAATGAACACATTCCAAGCGTTTGAAATGGAGGAGGTAATAAACGCTTTCGAAGCTGACTGGGGGAGTTGTGTCGGAGGTAAAGCTCTGGTTGGGAGAACTCTCTTACCACGGCAGTTCGCAATAAAGGAGCGATGTTTTCCCTTCCCGAATAGCGGCTGTTCCAAGCAGCTCGGAAATCCGGTGGGGCTCTGAGGCGGCCGCGGCTCTGGCTGACCAGAGCAAGCAAGGTGCCGAGCAAGAAGGCGCTGGCGGCGCATACCAGGTAAAGGACGAGCCGGAGCAGGAGCAAGGCCGAGCACAGCTGCCCGCCGGCCTCTTCCTCCTCCTCTTCCTGCTGCTGACCCAGATGGAAGAGGGGCACAGCCAGCAACAGTAGCCCCAGACCGAGAGCCAGCATGGAACGGGACAAGCCGCGAGCCCTCGCCGCCGCCTCCTCTTCGTCCTCCTCGCCGTCGCTCTCGGCCGCTGCCGCTGGGACGCTGCTGCTCTTGCAGGACTCGCTGCCGCCAGGACTGTGCGCTCCGGCGGCGCCTGCTGAATCCGGCTGCCCGCTGCCGCTGCTGGAAGAGGTGTTAGCAGTGTCGGGGAACATGCTGCTCCAGGGGCCGCCGGAAACCAGCACATTTCCCGCCCTGGGGGCCCCTTTGCACGGTCTCCTCTCCCCCGTCCACGACGACGTCGACCCTCCTTGTTCTCGGACTCAAGGCACCGCACCAGCAAAGGCCGGCCGGGCTCATGCCCGGGCTCCGGGGAGGAAGCGATCAAGCCACTTCCCTCCGCTGCACCGTGAACAGAAGCCGCGGTTGCTACTGCTGCCCCTGAGACCGGCGTTGGCGCTCCGGCTCCTCACATCACACCCGAGAGCCAGCAGAGGCCCCGCTGAGCCTGTTTGCGCGCAGGAGGGGAGGAGGAGGCGCCTGAATGACAGCGGCTGCTGGAAACCGGGCCACGTGCGTTCCGGCGGGCAGGGCGGGGCCAGCCTCTGAAAAGGCTGCGGCTCTGACCCGTTCTTTCCTTCCCTTGGCTGACTGTCCTGTCAATCTTAGTGCTAAGCGGCGAAGCCGCTCAGGGCTCTCGGGGTTGCTTCTCAAAAAGCGCTCCCCCTAGTGGAATTCTGAATTCTCCGGCTATTACCGCTCAATGAGGCCGCTAATAGTGATAACATTGCCAATAATGCGAAAAGCTTACAAATGCCGTAGTTGCACTGTGGCGATTTTCTACAACAACTGTGCAATCGAACCCTACACAGGGTCCTTAGTAAGTGTGCATAAATAGGATTGCAGCCCATGACATGATCGTACAGATATAATCCATACAAATGTCTAAGGAAGCCCCATCAAGTACACTGGGCTTCTTTGATGATTAAATATAAATTTACTGCTGAATAGAACTGAGTGGGAATTAAGCCTTGCAGTGTCCCAGTGCAGATTTCCGCAAGTTTATTTCTAATGTCCCAATGCCTTCAATGAGCCTTAACTTCCAGTAAGTGTGCATAAAAACATACACGGCAATTCCTGATGGTTGGCCTGCCACAACTCATTTCAAAAAGATAAAGAATGGAGTGCATACGGTGTGAGGAACAAAGAAGCTACTTTACTTGGCTTGGCAACACATTTTAATTTACCAGGCCTTATCCAGTCAACAGAATGGAAGAAGTGAGCCAGTTAATACATGAATACCTGTAAAAGGTGACTGTCTTGATGCTTCACAGACCTCTACTCGCCTGATTTAATGTTGTGTGATGGTGAAAAAAGGAAAGGCTTGAGATCCCCGTCTAAGCTGCGGATTACATACTCTATTTATGGAGTGTCAATCACTGCCCCTTAGAGGTAAAGGCAAGGCCCTTCAGTGGGTTGGCTATCCTGTTGATACTGATTAGCTTAGCTATGGCGCCCTGAGAGGTCTGTGCCGACGCTCAGAGGCGTTTCTTTCAGTAGGCACCGCTCCCAGGTCTCAACAGTCACGGCCCGCTGAGGCAAACGGGGCTCTAGGTGTTCCCCCACCGCACAGCGCTGCAGCTTTTCGGCGTTCACACAGAGACGGAAACTTTTGCTTTCCCTCTGCCCGATCCCTCCCTTTCCTGGTTACGCAAACACTGAGCAGGCGGGAGAAGCCCGGCTCGGTTCAGCGGGAGGCAGAAGCAGTACTGCCTGCGAGGAGCTCTAGCACAGCACAGACGCCTGCTGGCTGGCGGTGAGTATCCGGGCCGGCCGCAGCCAGGGCTTCGCTCCGGGCTTGGTGCGGGGTTCGCTGGAAGGCACTGCCCTCTACGCGGTGGGGAGACCGTCATCGCAGAGGTGGCTGCCGCGGCGCGCACTCCCGCCAGCGCCGCGTGCTTCGCTTCGGGTGGCGTCGCCATAACAAAGCGGGAAGGTTGCTAGCTGTGCGCTGGGCTTTCTCCAAAGTAACGGCCAGGAAGGGGAGCGAAGTGGGACTACTTGGCCTTCTTTTCTTCTCCCTTTCAGGAAAAGGCGGGGGGGGGCACTGCCTTGATTAAGACTCCATTCCTGCGTGCATCCTTTATGTAACTTTCTTTGCAAGACTGAGCCTTTCGTGATTCTAATTACTTGCCTTCTGTGCAAGGAATAATGATTAGGCTCTTTCTTGATCTGTGCGAAATTACTATGCTCCGGTTCCAGCTGATTCAGAGCAAGAGACAGCAAAGGTTGATCAGAGCTGGAGTCGCGTTCCGCTTTGTTTGGTTCGCGTAGGCTGCATGACGACTCCTCGCTCCGGGCTCCACACTGACGCATTGCCGATCAGTGGCTGTAAGAAGTCACAGCTCTCAACCCTGTGATTTTTGCACAGGTCTGTGAAGGGTCGTCGGAACCTGTTCATGTATACGCAAGGGCACGTGGTACAGATTTAAGGCGCAAGGGTCGGGTGAATGTTTGCAATCTTTCTGCGTGTGGAAAACATGCACGTAAGGAAAGAAAGGTTGTAGTTCCTTCTGTGATGTATTCCTTTGTGCAGAGAGATGTTGTCACGGGGACACTGCCAAAAAGCAGTCTTCTCCATGCATGGTAGGGCAACCCTGGACCACTTGTTTGTAATAGTAGAGTGGGCTCTGGCATTTCAGACTGCAGAGTAGAGGCTGGCATTTTGTAATGGTCAGGATAAGTAAAAATTCCTGCAAGAAAATGGCATATCAGAGAGGAACATTCTAGTCTAGGCTACTCCATGCTGGGCTAGTTTTCTGCTTTCAGGGAGGAGGGTAATTTTTGCTTTGTGTTTATGCAGAAGGAATTAAAAATAGGATTCCCTCCTCTTTGCCAGCAAGGGGACAATGCTGGCAAAGAGGACTCGACCATTTCATTTTTTTCTTGAAGTGAGACTACTGAACTGCTTCTGAGCCTCAAATTTGAGGGGGTTTTTCACGGCAGTAAAAAAATTCCCTACAATCAGTTCTCCAAACCTTCACTCAGTTGGCTTTACCATTCCAGTTTATATGAATCCCTGTCAAGAGAGGAGAGAATGATGACTCTGCCCTGGCACATATGGAGAACTGTACATTAAACAGAACCAAGTTGCTTGTTGTTGAACAATAAAATTTAGCTCCTGTACTTGAAGTGTGGGGCATGGCTTCCACGTCAAAGGGAGTCTTGTTTACCTGGCATCATAGATTTCTATAGTGCTTAAACAAAGCATATGGCAGAATTTCCTTCTGGCTCCTTTCTGCACCATCTACCATTCGAGCTACCATTAGGATTGAACACTCCTGTTTGTGGCAGGAACACTGGTTACTAATGTGTCAACCCTAACCTTGTACATTTGTTGGTGAATTTTTATTTATTTTGTGGCCTTCTTGGATTTCATGGTCAGAAGTTTAACATGGATCCTTTCTGCTTATAAAAATAATAAAATTATCCATGACCACAGTTATTGTGCCAATCAGAATAAAGTTATTTCCAATAAGCTTTCTGTGCACTTGCAGTATGTACCACATGCATCTGTAAAATATTCCTTCTGCCTCCCTCACTTTCAATAATTCTACAAAACTAGAAACTGCAGTAATTATCAGAGGATGAGCTTTTAAATGTCATTATTTCTAGACATATTTTTATGCAGATATTTTAATGGTTTTCTGTATGGGGCTTTGAATATAAACATCAGTTCAGTATGAAGCATATGCTACATTTGGCAAGTTTGCAAATTTAGATTAAATAAAAAGTCAAACGTTTACCTCAAATGCTTGTCTTTTAACTGTCGATCTAGGTATATAGAATAAAGATTTTCTTCCTATCTCTTAAAATTTTCAATACTTTCTTGTTACTGTATACACAGAAGCAATTAGTGAATTAGCACACTCTGGTCATGATAAATTAGTTTCACTTGGTAGAACTGATAGGTCAAATAAGTATTTGAAAGTGGTGTGCTAAGATAGGAACAGCTCAATTCTATGTCTGTTTACTCAAAATTAGGTCCCAGTAAACTTAATAGGAATTCCTTCCAAGTTAAGTAAGCTCAGAATCATAGCCTTAATATGCTGTTAAAAATGAATTGATGTGAGAGTCATATATTGCCATAAGTAATTCTGCAGATAAAGAAACATATATAGTAAGTGGTAAGATATTTCCACAGGTCCAGGCAAAGAAGCTTTACAAAAAATGCTTCTTAAGTGCAAAAGAATGACCACTAACATGCTTGTGAACAAGTAATTTCTATAGACTACAGGGCTGATTTACCCGCAATATACTGATCCTTGGGTCAACTAGTATTTGCAACTTTTTTCCTGGGTTACCTTAGTGCAGGTATGGATAGGCTTCAGGCTGGTGAAATCTGCTTTTTGTTTTTGTTTTGCTAGAATCCTGAGAATTCAAGTGTGCAAAGTGAGCAAAGCCAGTTACCTCTTGTACACTATGAACCATATACTGAAATGGACTGCCTAATTGCAAATCTAGTAGAGATCAGGCATTCCATTGGCCTGATTTAGCAAGCATGTTGTTAAACAATTGAACAACTGGGAATTAGGAACCTCTTCCAATCTACTGCAAACATATCTTCTACCCATCTCTGTCCAAACAGATATTTATGCAGTCTTTTAGGACTGGCAGGCCATATCTGCTTACAGTACCACTGTAGTATCATAGCAACTGAGCTGTATAATTTATTATTGCAGTTAACTGATTAATATGCTAAGTGGTTTCATGTCAAGGCAGGGTACATGGAAATGTTTCTGGTAACTTCCCCTGTTCTAACTGTAATATGAAAATTAAAAACAAGGAAAGAGCTGTAGCATCTTGGAGGTCATTTATTTTATTGTGGGCATGAGCTTTCATCAGTAAGAGCCTGCCCATTAAATGCTTTACAGTTGCCATCTCAATAAACTCAGACATTTTTGTTCCACACCTACCTGTCCTTCAGGAAGTGAATAGTTGAATGTTTGGAGGATGGTGATACACCAGGTAAAATGTCACTCAGGTTTCTGTGCAATTGCACATTGGTGCAAATGCATCATGAGTGACAGACAGTATACAGTATGATGTAACAAACAAGTGCACTTTTCCTTAATGCAGTTTACTGTTTTACCTTAAATATAGTTATTTTCTCAAATGGGAATAATGCAGTATTTCTTTTGATCAAGAACATAAATGAGTAGTTCTTTACAGTATCATTTTAATGCAGTTTGCCAAGATCTATTACGAAACTGTACAAAAAGATATAAGGAGACTTTGTAGTCTTTGGGGAAAAAAGATTAATCCTATGCATAGTGTTAAGTTTGAACTTAAATACTAGGATACAAGCTGACACCCATGTAAGTGGTGATGAGAGTTGTAAATTCACAGTATTTTTATGTACTGGGTAGTAATTTAAGATTTCTATTTGCAGGAACAGTAATTTAGCAGTTTCCTTTTGGTCATGGACCAGTATGAAGATGTGTCTGACTGTGAAGTAGATCACTCTTTCTTTGATAGTGATTTTGAAGAAGAAGTGAAGAAAGATGGGATGACTGTAAAAATAGACAAGAAAAATGGTGAGCACACACAAAAAGAAGATACAGGTGCAGATAACCCTGAGTTGAAAATGGAACCAAAAATAGTAGATGGCTATTGCACTGAGGAAGCAAGGCAAGAGAATGAGACAGACTCTGAGAAGGCGCACGCTTTAGAGAATGGTGCTTATCATCCGGAGAATGCTGCATCATTGTTAGTTCCTTTAAATTCAGGCAACACAAGTACATCTGGTAGAATCACAGCTCAAAGTGAAAGAACACATGAAGAAAATATTCCAGCAGTGGCTCCTCAAATATCTAAAGGATGTGATGAAAATTACTATACAGATGAAGAAGACAGCAGTGATGATAGTAGAAACCAGAGGGCTAGACTTAAGTTGTCTAAGCATGCTAATAATGCAAAAGTTCACAGAAATGCTGCCGCTAGTTCCTCTTCCTCATCTTCCCCTTCCTGTAGTTCTGATACAGATTGTTCAGACATAGATTCTGATGGTTGCTTGTCAGACTCATCATGCTCTTCTTCAAAAAATAAAAACCTGCGTACCTTGGTGCCTCTTTCTCCAAGACCAAAATCTAGTCCAGGGGTAAAGTCAGGGGAAATAAAACCAAAGCTGGTTGACTGTGCAGAAGAGTCTGAAGATACAGTGACTGACGTAACCCCTTTGTCAACACCAGACATCAGCCCCATCCAGTCTTTTGAACTTGCAGCATCCAACGATAAGAAGCTAAAGGTTAAAAGACAAGAAAATGTGAGCCAAGACTTAAATGGTAAGCCTGAGGAATTTAAATACAGCTTACAAATCACTAAACATTTATGGGAATAATAATGGTCCATTCTTGAATTTCTCTTTCTTATTAGAACCTGACTTGGATCACAGATGTCAGCAAAAGGTCCTGCATGAAGCTATGGATTTGAATAATCTTTTGAAAGGTGACCCTTTTTCTTTAAGTAACTTTACAAGTGTGATTGTTCCCTTCACCTTGCAATTTTTAAAAACAGTTACATTTTGATGAGAATTAGGGAGCAATTCTGTGACCTCTAGAAGGCTCCTGAGAGGCCATAGGATAGTTTGGTCTCCCCAGTCTAAAGTCAGAGCTCCAATCTCAGAGTGGATCAAAGGACTTTTCCCATTCCCTCACAGCAAGTGCAAAAAGAACATCAGCTGAGCTTCAAGGTCAGAAAAGTTACTTTAGGGAAGGGGAAGAGAGGGTAGGAGTCTGGAGAGACCAGGATATGAACTGTTCTGAAGCCTCTCCAATTTCCTTCTCTTGGATTCCAAAACGCCCCAGCTAGATGCGCAAAAAAGCCCAGCTGGCAAAAAAATCAGGGCAGGATGTTGTAGAAGTAAAAACCATCTCCACTGCTCCTCCCACTCTGATGACTATAAGCTAAGCTTCTGAATTTGGGGGCTTATAGTCATCAAGGACACAGCTCATAGGATTTCACCTTTACTGTGTGCATGCCTGCTTTTCTGTCAGACTTAGGTGAAAAATACTTTCAGGTTCTAGCAGTCTGTTGCAGAAAAAGCAACAAAGAGGCTTGTGACACCTTAAATAGGAACGCTACATCTTGTGCAATGATTTAGCTTTTCTAGGACAACCTGAAACAAATGGAAATGCTCGTTTCTGGAAGAAAATAGGTTAGTGGAGCTCACATAAGGGAGCTCTATTGAGCAACCTTTTGCCAGAAATGAGTGTTCCCACACATTTTGGAGTTTCCTTTAGGAAGTGCTAAATCGTACACCACTTGTGTAAGTGGTGGCCTTATTTACGCAGTGGAATTAGTGAGACCCACCCTCCCCAGAAGGTGGGGGTGGACCTGCCCCATTGGTTTCTGCCCAGTGTTGGAAAAACAGAAGACAATATTACTAACATAGATTTATTTTATAATAATATAACTGAAAATTATATATTTCAGCTACCTTTGAGAGGGGATGATTGCAAGAGAACAGACCCATTAATTTGTGAGGATAAAATATTCAAAAAGTAACCTTTACATTCCTAAATGATATTATTAAAGGCTCATACTGAGGGTACTTTGATGCAAAATGGTAGAGGTAGGTTTGACTTAATCTGGTTTTTAAAATATTTAAAGATTATCGGGTAACCAGCAGGGCTGAAAAATCCAACATTGTAGATCATTAAACATGTGATGCTAGAGGATATTATTCATCTTTTGATATTCTAATCTTTATTCATCCTTTTGCAAGGCTGGCAGCTACAAATTTGATGTTGATGCTCAGGAAATAAAAATGTTTTCTAGCCATGGAAATGTAATCAGGACAACGTAAAGGTGAAAGCCAACCATTTTGTTTCAGATAGGCTCAGGAAAGGGAAAATGCAAAGTGTTTTTAGACTTGTTTTAGTCTAAAGTTTTTGTCTTTATCATTTTTAGACAAATGGACAATCAAAAAATAAGTCACAGTAATTTTTATCAAGAATTTAACTTTGGATAGAAGTTATGTTTAAATTTTAAATGTTACAGCTGTGTTGCTGCTCACTTGTAATTAGTTTGTAGATAAAAACTTAGGTTCTTGTGTTCATTTTAATTTCATTTGGAGACTTTGCTGCTGCTGTCCTAGACCAACAAGCTGAACATTTAGAGTTAGAGGTGCTCTCAAATAAAGTTGCCCGTGCAGTTTCTTCAGCTAAGGAATTGCACACTGAAAGAGCTTACCTCCCAGCAACAGGCAAGATGATGCATTTGTCAGTCTGCGCTAGCACCCAGCTTTCCTTAAGGGCAGCTTCCTGTAGAGCACATTGCAATCATCCAGCTTTGCTAGTTGTGAAGTCACATCCGCCCATTGCGACCCCATGAACAACACGCCTCCAGGCCTTCCTGTCCTCCACCATCCCCCGGAGTCCACTTAGGCTCATGCCGACTGCTTCAGTGACTCCATCTAGCCACCTCATCCTATGCCGTCCCCTTCTTCTTTTGCTGTCAGTTGTTCCCAGCATTAGGGTCTTCTCCAGCTTACTAGTGCCTTTGTCACTGTGGCCAGGCCATCCTTGTCCAGGAGTGGCTGGAGCTGCTGACCTAATCAAAGTTGGTAAAAGGCTCTCCAAGCCATTGTAGTTCACTTCAGAATGCAGCAATAGATGTAGGTATACCCCAAACTACAAACCTGATCTTTCAGATGGAATTGAACCCTGCCCAGAAAAGGCATTGATCCTATCTCCCAGACTTAGGAAACCTTCATTTACATGGCTTCCATTTTGCCAGGATTCAGCTTCAGATTTATTGGCCCTCATCCAGCCCATTACTGAGTTCAGGCACATATCCAAGGCTTGCCTCTCCTGATTCAGTTGCCATGGGGAGACAGAGCTATGTATCATCAGCCTACCGATGGCTTCAAATCTCCTAATGATTGCTCTCAGCAGCTTCATATACTTGTTACACTGGGGACAAAATGGTACCTGGTACAATTCCATAGCTCAATTGCCAAGAGAGCAAGTAGTAGTTATCCAGTGTTAACACTTTGAAATTGACCCCACAGGTAAGAATGGAAACACTGTAACACAGTGGCTTCATTGCCCAATTTAAAGAGTTGATCCAGGAGGATAACAATGTTGATGGTATCAGAAGCTGTTTAGAAATGGAGTTGCACTCCATTAATTGCTGATAATGGCTCAGTTGCTCTCCTGATAAAGGTAATTCATTGGAGAGACTAAGTCTGATTCAGTCCTTTAAACAAGTTGAAATCCATAGTGGAATGGATCTAGATAATCAGTATCCTCCAAGAATTCCAGCAGATGTTCCACTATGACATTCTCAAGTTCTTGACTTTGAAAAGGGTATTTGTAGCTGAGCAGAAATTATGAAATACTGTTGGGGCCAGAGTGTGATTTTTTTTAGGAGTGGTTGCACTACTGTCTCCTTAAGGGCAGTAGAAACCACCCCAATTTTATTACATTTATATTGCACACTTTTCTTACAATGTGACTTACATAATTCTCCCCTGCATTTTATTCTCACAACAACCCTGTGAAGTGGGTTGCACTGAGAGTCAGTGACTGTCCTGACTGTCCTGACAAGTGAGCTTCATGGCGAGTAGAGACTAGAACATGGATCTCCCGTGTCTTAGTCCGGTACCACAATGCCATGCTAGTGCACCTGCCACTCCCTGGACATGCCCAATCATTTCTCCTTTGGCCAGTTTTTATGGGGATGGGAGCAAAGATCAAGCGGGCATGTGGTCAGTCGCATTGTTCCAAGCACCTTGTCCACCAGTCCACAGCAACTAAAAATTGATTCCACAAAATCAAGCATATGGTGGCCTCAGATAGCTTAACTGGAGCTGCACTAACAGCAGCATCAAGTGTGCTGTGGTCCTCAAAAGTGAATGCAGAAAGGTTGCAACAGGATGTTTGAGGGGGCCAGCACCCCATTTGCTGGGAAGAGTGTTATCATTCCCCAAGCACCAGAATGAGCTCTGCTTGAATGCTGCTTGAGAATGCACTGGATGCAGCAAAGTAACACTTCTTTGCTACCTGCATCACCATGCAGTAAGCATAGTTCAATGCTCTGTAGTGTATTCGGGTATCTTCACTTTGAGTCTTGTGTCATATTTGTTCTAAGCAGCATCCGGCCTATTTCATCAATTGCTGCTTCTCAGTGTATCAAGGAGTGAAGCGGGCTGTACAAAGCTGGAGAAGGTACTAAGGTGCACCTGAGTTGATGGTCTTCTGTATTTTACTGTAGAGTAACAAAACGTGTGCCTTGACTGAATCATCAGCTCTATCCACTGGAACATTCCAAGAATATTAAACATCTGTAGCATGCCATCTTCTTCTTGGGCAAACTATCCAAAGGGAACCATGCTCCTATGGAAGGGAAATAATGCTACAGGTTTAAATTCCACCAAGAAATGGTCAGGCCATGAACATTGGGTTTGTTAGGACACCTATCCACCCTCATTTTCAAGGGTGTCCCATGCTTCATGTGTTGGGCAATGACAAACTGAGACAGTCCCATGGAGGCCATGAAGTCCTGAACCGCAACTCCAGAGGCAGCCTCAACATGGAGAATAAAGTTACCCAGGATAACCATGCTGGGTTCCTCCAGCACCACACCTGAGACTACTTCTGGCTTTGTCGGGGGGGGGGGGGTGCTGGGCACCAGGATAGGTGATACAAGGCGGAAGGATTTCCTGGTAATGGAGATGGATGGTCTGTGAATCATGGCAACTACCCCCCTCCTCCAGCCTGCACTGGTACTGTAAAGAATACCATGGTGGGTCAGGTCAGCCCTACCCAGCTCACCCAACAAAGTCTGAGTAATACATGTCAGGTAAGCCTTCTTATTCACAATTAAATTGTGAATCAATTTAGCCATTAAAAAGCAAGACAGGAGGGTCACTGGATGAGCAACCAGGTACATGACAGCTAAAGAGAAGGGGAACTGTGTATATACATCTCTAGCACATCCTACTCTGGTGGCCTGTTCCCTTCCTCCTGCAATATCCCTCTGCCCCAATTCACTGTGATGGCAGCAAGCTCTCCACAAGTCTTTGGATCAGGGTTTTCCCAGCACGTTGCTGCCTCATCAGGATTTCCCACACACTCTCAGGACCCATTCATGGCACAAACATGTCCTCAATGACGCAGAACCTCATATGTGCCACTCACCAACCGGTCATATACAATCAATCTGGCACAATCACTAAATTTCAGTTATAACTAGGTATTGGTCGCATACAGGACATCTTCCAGCCCATTAAGCAGGATAAGGGACAACTTCATCCACTAGTTTACACGCACATGCACTCGTCATCTCTCACCTGGATTTCTGGAGGCACTTCCCACTAGGTCTCCCCCAGAGGGAATTCTTTTTCTAGCCATGGCAGGCTCCCACCCTGAGCTGAAGAAGCACACAGCCTATTGACTCATGTCTCCTATCCAGCATGGAGAGTAGCTCCTCAGCTCCTGGAA